TCAGTCCTTTAATTCTCAAGCTGAGGTGTCTGCTGAGAAAAGCTGCTCTGCATCTCCCTGGTCTGCTGGGGGCAGGGCACTAGCTTCGCATCTCCCTGGTCTGCTGGGGGGAAGCAGCTAGTGCAGGGTTGCCTCACCCCGTTTGTAAGTAGGGATCCGATGTAAGTCGGATCCATGTAACCCGGGGACTGCCTGTAACTAGAAGTTTATGTCAATGATGTTAAAGGAGAGCACCCCTATAGTAATCTCTGCACTGGTTCTTTGTGTCTTCTGAAGCAGGAAGGAGTTGAAATTCATTTCCTTTTCAGGTAATCAATTAGCAGATAATACTTCAAACAAGGGTGGATCTACCATATGTGGAAAAAACAGGCAGCTACTCAGGGTGCATGATATTAAGGGCAGGAAGGGGTTATGCTTCATTTTAGTTAATTAGGAAATAATTAACTGGAGGATAACAGGCTTGCTTATTGGCTTTGTCAGCGCAAACCTGAGCCTGTTATTGATATGCTGCAAAGACAGGCTTTGCCAACGGAGAGAACATAAAGGGAAAGGAACAAAGGAGAAAATATTGATCAGCCTGAAAGATTGTTTCCTCTCTTTCCTATGACTTCGCAGCTTCAAGACTTTGAAAAACTTCAGTGTAAAATGATTGGTTAGGGCAGTGATGCTCAATATTATGACATAGGAAGGCCACATAAAACCAGAGCACAACCTTATACGCCAAACAAAGTCTACGTATATTAATAGGATTTAAAGTCACCTATACTGACATATATTTTAAGTTCAGCTTGTTTCATATGTATGTAGGCAGGTTGTTTCTGTGTTCAGTATTGTCTGTTTACACACTCAGGTAAGCTAAAACGTGAACATGATGACAAAATGCTAATGAATTGGCCATTAGTATATTTTGTTGAAATGGACCACAGACCTTACCAAATCTGGTGGTCCACAGGCTATAAGTTGTGTACCCAGTGTAGGGTACAGATATAGTGAATAACAAATGGAGGCTGTACATGGATCCAAGACAATGTTTAGCTCTAATTTTGTAAGTAAAGCTATATTTAATGTCAGCTCAACCCTGCTAGCACTTGTCATGTGTTCACAAACTGCTTAAACCTGGCTTTTAACTATTTAAAAAAATAAAATTTTACTTGTGTCAAAATCAGCTGCTTTAGGACTGTAATCTCACAAATAGAAGAAATATCGCAGGAACATGCCATTATTCACTATTCAATTATATTTAATGCACATCAAGAATTTGAGGCAAACTTCATCTGAGAGACTAATTAGTGACTTTATGTGCTTTCAGTGGTTTGAAAATGCCTCTCCTCAAAGCCAAGCAGATACCTTAAGATCAAAAAACCATGAAACACTAGAGACCAAGGACATTTGTTGATATAAGTCTTAACCAGATGACATACTAATAGCAAACTGAGCCCTTTGGTCTTTTGTCTGAATTTATAGTGTGCTAGCTGCAGCTGTTATTAAGCAGCTGGTTGTTAAACTGTGAAGTATTTTTCCTTTGAAAAATATTTCAGTCATGCTAGCTATAAGGAGAATTTGGATGTAATTTTTAGTAGCTCTTCCAGTCAATCCAGAGCCCAAGTCAGTGGAAGCGAAAGAGGCCTTATCAGCCTATACAGAGTTTATGCTGAAATAAAGTTGTTCTGAAAAATCTCTAAGTACTGTGGGGGATTTGTGGTGGAAATCTGAAAGGGGTTTATTAGGCTAATATCAGGCTGAAAAGAATTTGTGGAACTAGATGAAGAGTTTTTGGGGTTCTCTTTATTGTTAGATTGGTGTGTAGAGTGAAGCTTCACTACCATCTTTTCTGTTTCAAAATGGGGTTCAGGTTGTACAGTTTGTGACCTGTGTGAAAAGAGTTTGTCTCCTGTTCTTTTGGAGACTGATATCTGTTGTTGGCAGTAAGGAGGTAAAATCCTGGTTAATCAGTTAATCGGTTAAATGTTATGTTAACCAACTAGTAGGATCTCACTGCTTCAGCCCCCCCCAAGCCGCAGGGCAGGATCTTTTGGCTCTCAGCCCCTGCACTGAGGCTGGCTCTGCTCCCCCAGTCGTAGGGGGCTACTCCCTGGGTGACCAGTTAACCGTTACCTGTTCACATACCTAGTTGGCAGATTCAAAGAGCTGCAAAGACTGAATGAGAATGGAAATGTAATCTGCTTTTTACCCCTTAGTTGGTTCCTTCACAGAATCATAGAATACTAGAACTGGAAGGGAGATCATCAAGTCCAGTCCCCTCCCCTCACGGCAGGACCAAGAGTTAATCTTCATATTATGTACATGATTATGGCAATGTTAGGAAGCTTTCCAAGCTACGACCTATGCTGTGTGTGTCTACAGAAGACTGTCAGTGATTGTGTTGTCAATAATTAAAATACTCCGTGCTTGTATAGGTCTTTATATCACAAAGCAGTGTACAGTGCTGAGCTAATTAGTCAAACTTGCACATCCTGTGAATATTTAAAAATCCACCAAAAAGGCAGATACTCCATGTTGGGATGATGCGAAGGATAAAGTGGTGGGGTTGGATGGGGACCACATACAGACATCTTAGCTGTTCTCTAAAGGTTCAACTTTCATTTAAAAAAAATACAGTTACAGTCACAGAAGCAAACTTTTACAGTGTAAGTCAAGTATAATGAATGAAGGGGGACAAGAGCCTAAAATAGTAGTTCTGGGGTCTGATGACATGTATTTCATGTATGTGCTAACATGGATTCTGATGATGCTTTAAATGTCAATGATGTTAAGTATACTACTGCATATCAAAGCATATAAGAGAGGAGAGGAAGTATCATCATATTAAGAAAATCTGCACTAGCATTTTCCAAAGTACCTGTAAGTGTGGAACCCATAGAATTAACTAGGGACCATAGAGATATAAATTAAGATGGTTAGTCCTTTAATAGCCCAGTACTTAGCAGGCTTGTAGCAGAGATGCAGTTGGTTTCACTTTTCTGGGTAGGGCTCAGTTTTAAAAAAATTGTAAAAATGCATGTTTAAAGCATGGTCAATGACCAACAGCAGAGATAACACTCAAGTTCAATATCCATTTTATTGATCAAAAGATATGCCCCCTTTTTCAATAAAGGCAAAGAGATTCCTTTCTACCAAGCAAACTAGAAAACTTTGGAACCCACACACATCTTGGCAAAATATTTTCTTCCAAGACCTGATTCCCGAGATGATGTTAAAATGGGATAATGAGGACGTTTGTTCATCTAGCTTCCTACCAATAGTTGTATATAATAGTTTTTGCATCTTTCAGAAACAACTAAATGTTGTAGGTTGTCATTTTGAAATTTAGTTCAGCACAATGGGTCAGGTCTGCTCTCACTGGAGCTGGTTAAATTAAGGAAGACGCCACTGAAGTTTATTTCCACGTGAATGGGTTCAGAATGTGGCCATAAGTGCAATAGGAAATGACAAGCAGAAGAAAACATTAGCTCAGTAAGTGTAAGGACATCATGCATTTTAAAAAAGTTTTACAAATTATTTTTCTTTTAAGAACATGTTACTTTACATTTTGGTTAAAATATATGAAAATAGTTATGTGTTCATATAGTAACGTTTGGACATTTCCAATAAAATATTGCCTCTTTATAGTGCAGATTAACTCCTTGTTGTGTCCTTTTAAGCTAATCTGTACTTCTGTACAGTATCACATTTAGCACCATATCTAAGAAAGGAACATAGTGTGAAAACATTTTTCAAGTTTGTTTTTGGTGTGAAGTATTAATATTTGGAATTATATCTGTCCACGTGGTCATCTTTTCAGCATCCAGTTCTGTCTGTGAACGACTAGTTGACTATCCAATAAGCAAATGCTTATTGGATAGTTGACAGGCTAATCGACTAGTCGCTCTTGCCTCTCCCCTTGTTGCCTCTATCAGAAAGAGGCAACAAGGGGAGTGGAGAAGGAGAAGGTATTTGAAAGCAGCAGTGCCGAATGGAGCCTGGGGCCAGACCCCGGACTCCATGCTGCGCTGCTGCTTTGAAATGCCACATGGAGCTTGGGGTCAGCTGGGGCATCCCCAGGCTGCATGTGGCGTTGCAAAGCAGCAGTACCATGTGGAGCCCAGGAGTGAGCTGGGGAGTCCTGGGCAGTTGCAAAGCCCAGGAGTGAGCTGGGGAGTCCTGGGCTCCAACACTTTGAAACGTCACGAGGAGCTTGACGCTGGACTCCTCGCAGCATTTCAGTGCAGCAGCGCTGCCCGGAGTCAGTGGGGGAGTTCCCAGCTGACTCCAGGCTCCACGCAGCACTTTTGCCTTTGAAGAGCTGTTGCTACACTTCAGAGACGGAGGTGCCCTATCAACTAATTAAATAGTTGATGCAAAATGCATCAGCTATTCGATTAGTTAATTACTCAATAGTTAACATCCCTAACCAGAGCTGCTCTCTCTCCAGCAGTTAATGGTGCTGATAGCAGTGTGGGGAGACAGGGGATTTTGCTCCTATTGCAAGGATGTCTGGAACTACTGCTACAGTGTTCACTCGCTGGGAGGTCCAGGAGGAATGTTGGCTGACTCAGTTTCCCCTCCAATTCCCACTCCAGCCAGCCCCTACCCACCCTTGCTTTGCATCTCTGCCTTGCTAGTTTGAAAATACATTCTTATGACTTTCAACTAAAGGAAATCTTGTCATTTCAAACACTAGTTTATTTTCCCATTCTTAACACTGCAAGCAAAACTGACATTGTCTCTCTTTTGTAAGGCTGATTTTTTTTATGCAAACCGAAATCCTGTTGACTTCGAAGAGTCACGTGCACACACAGGCTAGATAGTTGGGCCATGTACCTAGGTGATTTAAAAAAGCCTTTCCCGTGCATTAGGTAATACACATGGAAACATATACGTAAGGTTGCTATAGACTACCTATGCGAAACAATGTGTACAGATGTAGGGATTAAATGCAATTGTAATTCTACAAAGACCTTTAACTGTACTGTTTTTTCCATATCTTTTCTTTTATACAGTTCTCCTGTGCCAGGTGATGTCATAAAATTGGCTTCTTCCACTGATTCTTCCCAGCAACCGTTAGCGGGTTCTCTGCCTTGTGAAAATGTTGCTGCTCTGGTTGAAGCTGAGCTGACTGCAGCAAGGTATAGTAAGGAACTCACTTACAGTCGTAGTGATGGAAAGCAACTGCAAACTACCTTGTGTCATAGAGTGTATTAGCTAGGAAGTGAGTGGCACTGGTTTTGAGATAGGGGTTTGTCTATTGCAGCCAAAAATACTGATTCAGGGTCTTTGTTGGGCAGCTGTCCCTGAACCTCCTGTAGAATCTATGGCAGAATTTAAAGCTGCACTCAGAATCTGCAAGGAAAAGTTACTGAGGGGGGGAAAGATTTGCCAGTTTATTGACTTAAACCTTTTTATCAATGCAAGGGGAGTGGGTCCTTCATGTTTAGACCGTTTCTCCTAATATTTATATTTGTCAGCGTCTTTGCTGGAATGATTCTGATATCAGCAAAATTAGTTATCTAGAGAGGATTGGATTGTATCCTATTTCAAGTGGATTTTGAAATAGCTTATTTCATAATTTGGTGCTGTCAACATAGCGCCAAATTTCAAAATAAACCACTAATCTGAATTGTCCTTTAATCCTTGTGGAACGAGGTTTACAGGGACATTGGAATAGCACACCCATTATTTTGAATGACATTTCAAAACAACGGGTGCACTGTCAAGACATGGAATAGCTATTCTGAGATACTGGAGTATAGATGTACCCCTAGAGACAATGCATTTTAGGCCCTAACCAGCCTAATCATTTTAAAAATTGTATTAAGGGCATGCCTGCACTTAAAACTGAAGTCAATCTGACTCATGTCACCACACAGTCACTGCAATAATTACAACACTTGTGCATGTCCTCCCTTTGCTTCTTGTGTCAGCGGTGCACATCGTCACCAGGACTGCTTGACTGATGGGAATGCCAGAGTGGGGCATTGTGAGACAGCTTCTGAAAGCCAGCAATAGTTGATGTAAGCAGTGCAGTGTTGGCACTGACACTGCATTTATCTAACTACATTGATTTACACTTTGTGGAGGTGGAGTTAAGGGTGAGTTACATCGGCAGAAGTGAAATTTTAGTGTAGATGCTTAGGGCACGTCTTCACTCACTGCGCTGGAGATCGATGTTCTGGCATTGGATTTAGTGGGTCTAGTAAAGACCCCTAAATCAGATGCTGAGGACAGCTCCCACCAGTGTCTGTACTCCTCGCAGTCATGAGGAGTAAGGGAAGCCGATGGGAGCATTTGCTCTCCTTGGTTTCCCGCGGTAGGGACGGCGCCAATCTTGGCCAAGGTAAGCCGACTCCAGCTATATATTCTATGTAGCTGGAATTGTGGACCTTAAGCTGACCTTCCAGGTCTAGTGTAGAGCTGGCCTTACCTAGTTTAGTTGACATAAGCTGCCTTGCCTTCAGTCCAGAGCAGGTCTTGGACTTCTAAATCACTTAAACACTTTTGAAAATTCAACTGTGCCCCGTCCTCCCTTCTATTTCCGATACTATATTTATTTAATTCACAGTAGGGAGAACTGAGGTTGAAAAGAAACAAAGTTGAACAAAACCCTTCCTAGGGTGATGAGCAGACCATTTTTAGGGTGATAAGGACAAGAAGTGATTGATTGCTTCCTGTTGTCACGGGAAGGTTTTAATTAATATGCAGATTTCATTGATGGCTCCTTTATAAATGTACTTGCTTGCTGTTATTCTGATACAAACTTGGTTATGATTCTGAATCTCTACTCATGATGCACATGTGAGAAAGACAATGAACTGTTAATGAGTTGAAGCTATAAGCTTCTTTCTGGCCCCAGGGGAATAACAAAGGATTAAATCAACAGTTTCAGTAGCCTCTACAGCTAGTCTTTTAAACACAAACTAAATTACAAAATAACACAAAAGACTGTGCTGCTTCTTTTGGGTCGAGGTTTACCTGTGCTCCTATAGATACAATCATACAGCTCTACAGTGCCAGCTAGCTGCTATTTTAGAAAGCGTTCAGGAAAGGCGATCTCCTTTGTTATCTTCATTATTAGCTTTCTGAAAACCTCATGAACTCCCCCAAGTCAGAGGTATGTCTGTCCTCCCTGCCATGGATGCTAAATTTAAGGTTAGCTGTATCAAATAGGAGTATTGGTTTTAAAAGATTTTGACATGGAGAGGTTACCATTTTTTGGTGTTATATTGATTTTCTCATTTCTTCCCAGAGCTTACTGCCAGAATTGTTTAACGTAACTTAATACAAGCATTATTGTTTAGTACTATAACTATTTGTGATTATCCCAATCTGTGGTCGGTAGCTGTGTAAGGTTTTTTTTGCTGAGGAGTACAGTGTGCAAGGGTCAGGACTAGATTTGACTGTCACTGTGGTAAGTGCAGTGACCGATACCAGTGACTGACTCCATGTTGTTGCAGGAGGCAATGAAAAGGCAATTTGGGATAGAGGTATTTAGCATGAAACTAAAAATCCGATTCACTTGTCAAAGTGAATTAAAAGGCAGGTGAGTAATACACTGAACAATCAGTGTTAGAGTAAACCAGGGAACTTAAATAAACTCACTATTTTTAGTTCTTAAAAACATCACTGCACAAGTGGGCTCTTGTGGAGAATGATTGGTAAGAAGAGAAAATAAGACCAATGGTGAGTTTAGAGATCTATGCAGAGGTGAAAGTAAGTGGGTGCACCCTGATGTGCCGCTCTGGCAAGAGCTGGCTGAGCTGCTGCAAAAGCCAGTGGGGAGCTATTTAAAGAGCTGGCAAGGATCTGGGTTGCAATAGGACAGTATCTGTAAGAAATTTTAGGTTACTTTCACTGTTGGATCAAAGCCAATTCATCTTCTTTGAACTGGATTGCCTGTTACTGGCAAATTCCTGCTATTTGCTAACCGTATATTTGCCTTGCTTGGGCACATGGCAGTGTCATGGTGATAATCGGCTATAACTTCTGTGAATGTCACCCATGCTCCTACTGGAAGAAGAGCGCCCAAGCTCAGTATTATTAGATCCCCCTGTTGAAGCTCCCATTCCAAACAGACAATAGCAAGGCAGATCTACCAGGAGTAAAAATCTCATACTAATATAAAACAAACAATCCCGCTAAATTTAATGGTATAACGTGGATAGGGATGTTACATTTCGATTAATCAGCTAATCAGTACTTAATTAGTTGATAACGGGGGCACTCGCTTGCATGGGATCCCAACTGCTGCCCCTCTCCCTTGTACATTTCAAAGGAAGAAGTGGAGCAGGGAACCTGTGCAAGTGGGGACTGCTTCAGTACCTGCTTGTGTCGTTTCCCGCACTGTGCCTCTGCCTCCCCTGCTCTTCTGTGGGGACAGTGCTGGGGGGAACTGGCTTTTAAGATAGCTCCCGCCTCCCCCCAGCACTGGCTTCTGCTTCCCCTCCTCCAGCCCTTGGTGCCTCTGATACAGCGAGGGATGGGGAAGCGACTAGTCGAGTAGTGAGTCGACTACCTGGTAAGCCTAAGCTTATTGGGTAGTCAGCTAGTCGCTTACACCCCTATGCTGGATTTAAAATTGGTGTAAATAAGATCAGAATTGGGTGCTCCTGGTCCAAGGAGGATGTTTAAATCAGTTACGCAAAGTGTTTAATGCCCTCGGTAATGCTTGTTTATTTAGCCTCATACAACCACGTTACTGCTACTCCTTTTACAGCAGTTGGTGCAGAATTATTCCACAGTTGCTTTTTGATATTACTTTGAAAAGTTTTTTCAGTGCACATATGCACGGTGTCTCTGCTTCCTGTCCCTGGTTATTCTGTTTAGAATTTAGTGCACTGCAAGACAGATGGCTCAGTGCTATTCCACTTGAGCAGCAATAAAATCAAATGACAAAGCACCTTTTTGGAACATATTTAGTTACTTATGTATAGTTGCTTTTGCCTCCATGTGAATGTTTATCCCTACGGGATGTCTTGTAATTCAGATAGAGTGCACTTTGACAGGAAAAATAATGAAGCGTATAAGGTAGGGGTCAGTTTGTGCTTAATGTCTTCCAGATGGCAGTGTGTAATATGAGATCAGATGCTGTCCCTCCATCTGTCCAGTCAAGAAACTGTATCTTTGTTGTGGTCCTTGAAGGCAGCTTTCTTTCTCCCCCTCCCCTCCAGTGATAACATACTGTTCAGAGGAGCACCACATGGTCTGGTCTATGTAAGTGGGTTTTATTTACCAGATCCATAGAGTAGTGTCTTCACTCTAAATAGGTAATGAGTTCACTAATTGTTCTGCCAAGCCATTTTCCTTTTGGACATAAAACAGCCCTTTCCCCCCCACCTCCCAGTCCACTAGAAAATATGTTGGGGCTGTATTTTACTAATCCACAGGCGAATCTTCCCGCACTGTGAAGGAGCAAAGGTCTTTGCAGCAGCAGTGCCACTGTGCATAGGGAAGGAAAGAATTTGGAGAAGCTGTGGACACTCCCTATATGGTACAGAGCCAAGAGAGACTGGGCAAGTGATTTGATGCTATGAAGATCCTCTTGTCTTTTCTGACTAAAGAGAGATTCTGCCCAAGGCATTAAACTGGTGTAGCAGCTGCAGACCTGCACCATAATATTGCTCCTCTGCCTGAGGAAAATAGTTGTTTTCCATTAGGTGTATTCCAGCACCCTGCCCAATTGCTTAAGCCAAGCAAGGGAAGAAGAATGATCACAAAATCCACGGTAAGTATTCAAAAATATGAGAGAGTGGATGGAGCTCAGCTCAGGGATGTAGGACATCAGTTGCTCTAGGCCAGACTGTGACTCGCTGAGAGGCCTCAGAAAAAAATAATTAATCTCTCTCTTTTAGTTTTCTCATCTGCAAAACAGGGATGTTAGTCAGGGATGTAGCTCCTGGTGTGACTCTGCATGGGAATCAGGGAACCGCGAGAGCATGAAATGTAAGTGATGATCCTCTGTCATGGGGATAGTAAAAATGTACTAAGGGCATCATTGTTATATAGGCAGTGGATGTGGCCTAACTGCATAATATGCCCACATAGCATAGGCCTCTTGGGGATTGTAGCTCACTGAAGGCCAGGCGGGAACAGGGGAATCTAGCCATCCAGGTGGTCAGGAAGTTTTGTTCAA